GTCTATTTGGAACAACAAGTCGCAACAACATGAGCTGTCTCTTATACACATCTAGATGTGTATAAGAGACAGGATATACTCACCCCCATCATCCAAAAGGGCCAAAAAAAAAAAGAAAACAGCAAGAAATTCAAAAACTTTGAGCTGGAAAAGCACGAGAGGGGACATAAGCATGTTATTGTTTCTTCGCTTTTTTGTATTACGGCGAAAAGCAAGCACATCCTGCATGGAGCACGATCAAACACTTCAGAACGTCCAACAAAAAAACAACAAAAAAAAAAAAAAAAAACACTCACCATTCCTTGGAGACCAAACGAATGATCCATGAAGTTTCAGCAGATCTTTCCTAGATTTTTCAAAGCCGCCGTCCACAAGCTAGCACGCGAGAAGGGGTTTTTTTTTTTTTTTTTTTTTTTTTCCGCGAGAAGATTTTGTCCAAGCCAAGGACTGAAATTCCACAACTACCAGTTCTCTCTCCATTTATGCGTGTCATCCTTAATTGCGCAGGGGCCATGCTAATTAATCTTTATTATCTGTATCGTTCCGATTTTTACCGGAAGTTAATAAACGCCATTAGCAAGTTCAATATTTTCCAGCTGCGCCTTTTTACCCAAAGAACGCAACTGGTTTAAACCACCACAGTACTTGATAAAATTGTGCCCGTTAACAAGCCACACGTTTTTAGGAGATGTATGGACCACTACAGCAGTGCCCAAATTCATCTGAGTAGAAACGTTTCTACTCTTATTTTTTTCCGCAGCGGATAGCTGGGCCAAGTACTGGTGGTTTACGTACACAATATTCTGCAAGCCACGAGTTAAATGGGGGTAGAAAGTAGGTCTAGGACCCAATTTGCAAAGAAGGGGACAGGCAATGTGGATTGGGAGGGCGCCGATCGGAATGTGTGGTTACACGAGGGGAAGGTCAGACTGCCCGCCAATCAGCATAAAGGGCGTTTTTCAATAATAATAATCATAATAGTCATAATAATAATCATCATCATCATCATAATAATAATAATAATAATAATAATAATAATAATAATAATAATAAAAAATAATAATAATAATAATAATAAAAAGGATGAGGATGTAGGAACCCTATGAAGTTACAAGGGGAAGGTCAGACTGCCCAGCAATCAGCATGAGGGGCGTTTTTCATTAATAATAATAATAATAATAATAATAATAATAATAATAACAATAATAATAATAAAAAGCATGAGGATGTAGGAACCCTATGAAGGGCAGGGGAAAAGAACGCCAAGGAAACAGCGTCAGGAATGCAGGTCATGTAGAGGAGGGATCCAAACAAGGGGAGGAAGAAGAGATTGAAAGGCAGGACGAGGGGCCCAGCGCAGGGGGGACGTGAACAGGTTGTAAGGAAAGGATAGAGCACGATGATAATCAAGTGCCCGAATCGCGCGAGCGATAGTGATAGGGTAAATGTGGATATGCAGGTGATGGAGCCCGCAAATAGGAAAATTTGAGGGAAAAAGAAACAAAGGAATAATGTGCACGGACGTGACAGACACTAAGTGCCCCTAGGGACCTGCATTGCATGTAAGGAAGTCGAACGGCCACATACGTCCGTCAAGACTTTATAGACTTCGCTCCCATCCGGGCCATATCCGAGTAATTGCACGTACAAAAACGTCACAATCAATCAAACCCGCCGGGTGCATATGTTTACAATTAGATTGCATCACTATCATAATGCACAAAAAAAAAAAAAAAGCCAGAACCAGGATTGCCCCTCAAAATTCTACCACTAGAAAATTGGGTGAACGACCATACTACTACTCCTGAGACAGATAAGGGCCACAGACAGAGAAGCCGCAGCAGCAACAGCCATAGACGCAAGGGCCACGGCACATGCACACCAGCAGCAACAGCAACGGCAGCAAGAGCCACAGCCCCAGTTGGAGCAGCCGCCGCAGCAACAATTGGAGCAGCCAAGGCACCAACAGCCTCGGCCTCAGCAGCAATTGGAACAGCTATCGCAGCAATTAAAAGGCCACGGCGGCAACACCCATCGCATCAACAGTACCAACCACAGGACAACACACGCACGGCAGCAAAAGCCACAGCCTCGGTCGGTTGGAGAGCCCACCGGGCAGCAACAGCCTCAGCAGAAGCAATTGGAACAGCTAACGCAGCAATGAAAAGGCCAGGGCAGCAGCACCCATCACACAAAAAGTAGCTGTTCCAATTGCTGCAGCAGCGAAAGCCACAGCCCCAGTTGGACCAGCCACCGCAGCAACAATTGGAGCAGCCAAGACACCAACAGCCTCAGCAGCAATTGGATAGCTACCGCCGCCGCAAATGGAAGACCACGGCAGCAACACACCCATGACACCAACAGCACCCGCCACGGACCCAAAGCTTTGGGAACACCACTTGAAACATCCTCGGTAGCAACAGCCCCGACAATATCAAAGACGCTGTGGCAGCAACAACCACGGAAGTACCGGCACCACACACTTGATCGGGGGACAGAGAAAAAAGAAACGAGTACAAGTAGGAAGCAGCTCCTCTCCTCTTCTCCCCCTCGAACCAGAACCTCATCAAAACATCACCCACCATCCTCATGTCAGCTAAGGTGGGTCATAGCAAGCCCTCATGTACATGACCGATTTCCAAATATCCTAAAACCCCCGACGGCTGAGAGAAATTAAAAACGGGTGAAATTGAAGAGGGGTGATATTTCCTCAAGCTCACACCCTGACCTCAACACTCACTCACCCGTCAATCAGCACAAAATTTGTGAAAACACCCTATCCCATCCCACTGTGAAAACACCCTAGCCCATTGTGAAAACACACTCTCCCATCCCCCCAACCTCGATCCGTGAGAAAAGGGCAATTAGAAAAGGGCAATTATTATTTGCAAGGGGGACATGGAGTGAGCAAACTGCTACCCTGATGGTCATGCAAAACAGAATCCAGAAGGCACACACATGGATGGAAGAAATTGGACGGCAGCGAAAAACGGCCCAAAAATAGAACGCGCCTCATTGTCAAACAGCAGGATGGAGCAAACTGCTATCATGATGGACAGGACTCACAGCAGCATATATCACACACATAGATGGCGGAGTTTTCTTTCTTCCATATACTTCGAAAAGTTTTCTTCCAGTCAAGTAGAGGAGCATCACTTTTCAGATGAAACCATCCTCGAACAAACTCGACTCTCGATTGATGCAGTGCCAGCACGTTCCAAATACTAGCTCGCTCTCAGATAAACTTCTCCTGATGGTCTCTAATGAGCAGCAATTAATGGTTAAAAAAAAAACTACAAACAGCGTGTGCATTCCATCTCCTTCCAGCTCTTTTTTACACGCCAAAGAAATATTATCGTACATACTGCTGCCTCATTTTAAGCGGTGTTTCCTCTCTCTCTCTCTCTCTCTCTCTCTCTCTCTCTCTCTCTCTCTCTTGTTCATCCATCTATCCTTCATCTACTCGTCCATCTAGCCATAATGACGAAACCATCCATCTAGCTAGCTACCTACCTACCTACCTTCACGCATGTCCACCCGCAGCTCAAGAGTGCACGAAAAAAAACTTCCTGACTATTCGTCTGCATCCCAGATCGCAGCTTCAGAACTTCCGTCGGATCCGTTACATGAGATGATGAAGATACTCTCTACATACTTCTGTCACGCCATTCGCATTAGGAATAGGCAAAACAGGAACAAAACTTTCTACTAAACCAGCACACAAACATGCTGGGATGGGCACATGACAAAAGAAAAGAAGGGCAACAAATCCGTTAATTCCCACGACTAAATACCACAAAGAATCAAAGCTCATTCTCGTCAAAAAAGAACAGGTGAAAGACAGACATTTTGACTGCAGGATGGGGGCCACGCAGGGAGCCATCCTTCCTTTCTGTACACCAAAAGTTCGTCCTCACATCCTTCACCCTCACCAGATGCACCTCCAGAGTCTGGACGATTTCTCTCTCTCTCTCTCTCTCTCTCTCTCTCTCTCTCTCTCTCTCTCTCTCTCTCTCTCACTCTCGCGCTCTCTCACTCTCACTCTCGCGCTCTCTCAAAAAAAAACACATACTGCGCTCGCCCATGCCTCCAAAGTCCACCTCGCCATTGAATAATGTATGATCTACAAGTTACTCCGACTACCTTCATGTCCCTCTGTCCTCATAAATAGGTTCTCATCAGACCAGCCTACACTCAAAGAGAAGCCTTTGAGGGTAAAGGTCACAGCTGCACACCAGCTTACACCCCCCACTTCGGCTCCACCCCTTTTCTCCTTGCATCCTTCGTCGTCGGCCAGCTCCCTATACACGTCCTGCGCCGCCTGCCTGTCCTTGTCTCCCGCCTGTGACAGATTACAACACTCAACGTGCCCGTGAATCTGCATGACTTTACTTATTCCGCCGTAGTCGCTTGTTAGCAAAAGATGAATGGTTCGACTTCCTTTCAAGTCTCATCAGGTCAAAACACCTCATTGTACAGAATCGGACGACCTTCAAGGATTTCTTAATGTCGTAGAAGTACAGAATGGACCGTTGTTCTCCATCCCAAAACAGGAGAAAAAACAAATACAGCTAGCATACATCTATATGTACACGCATTTCCACCTCTCTCTCTCTCTCTCTCTCTCTCTCTCTCTCTCTCTCACACACACACACACACACACACAGCCCGCACATACACACGGAACACACACACACAGACAGACACACACACACTCTTCCCTCCACAAATAAAATCGCCTCCACTACCCTCAACCACAACCTCATGACATGTGGCGAAGACATACGGTCAATGATGATTACCCTCAACCACCACCTCATGACATGGGGCGAAGACATGGTGATGATCATTCACGATGCTGCCCACGAACTACCAAAACTATGCAGTGTGCTCTAGTTTGATACGCCTGACGCCTTTCTTCCCCCCCCCCCCCCCCCCCCCCCCCCCCCCCCCCCCACCCCCCACACACATACACATGCACTTTCCCCCCCACACACACACACAGACCACACACATACACATGCACTTTCCCCCCCACACACACAGACAAACACGCCCACTACCCCACACACACACATGCACGCACTCACATAACCACACACACACATGCACGCACTCACATAACCACACACACACACACACACACAGGCACAGAACCACACACGCGCGCGCACAACCACACACAATGCACACGCACACAACGACACACACAGGCCATGCACACAACCACGCAAACAGAAAGAACAAGCACACAAACACAACACAGGCGCACAAACGCACAACACACAAGCGCGTGCACACACACACACACACACACACACACACACACACACACACTTTCCCAATTCCAAACATTTTCCCCCTCGTGTTCTGACCCTCTTCTCGTATCATAAGATAAGATACTCTTTACTACCCCTGTGCGTGCTACGCATACCCAGGAGTTCCAGCTGAGACCCGGCCCTCCATCGCCGATCGGCTGTCGGNGATAAGATACTCTTTACTACCCCTGTGCGTGCTACGCATACCCAGGAGTTCCAGCTGAGACCCGGCCCTCCATCGCCGATCGGCTGTCGGGCAACCGCTGCGAATCCGTGTTTGCATTTTTGGTGGCCGATGCCGCCACCCCCCCCCCCTCTGCAAAACCTTCGACTCTTGTCATTGCTGGAGACACAGCAGATCCTCCTCCTCCCAGGCATGATGATGGCAATCCACCGCCCGTTCCTGAGCTTCGACTACGCAGAAATCGAGCATCATGCACCACAGGATTGGCGGCACGATTGGGAGGGGAGCACGCCAAGAATGGCAGGGAACAAGGCTGTGTCGACTCGTTGCACCCACTCTGCAAAGGCAGCCACACAATCAACGCACTCTTAGACAATAATAATCACACAAAATTATCAAAAACCCATTACACACGATTTCTTATTACACAATTATGCCGCACAATCGTTACACAAGAAACATCACGCATGAGTGCATTTGCGAAAGAAAAAGGAAGCACATAAAGAACGAGCAGGCGAAGGAAAAGGAACAACGGTGTACCTTGCCATGTTTTCGCGACACATTCATTCTCATTTTGCAGATCGGGCGAGTGGTTGAGCGAGGCCCAGGGTCTACATCCCGGGGGCTCGCTCCACTACTCAAGATCGGTTACATCTATGGTGGGAATGCGTCATTGCTAAGGGCTTCTGAACACTCTCTGAACACTCTCTGGGTCAGGGCATACACTTGTCAGACTCCTGGAACAACCAGATCTTGATCTTGTAATCACGGGCAGAACTACTACACTCCTCCGTAAACAGCAGCAGCCAGGACATGTAGCTCAGATCATCAGAAGGGGAGCCCTCTGGACTCTTTGGCTGGCTATGAGAGGCAGACGTTTTCTTTAAAGATCAACCCCTCCCTTCCCTCCGCTCCCTGCTTGGAACCGTTCAAACACTCACTAAGGATTGAATTCACCGCAGATTGGGTGGGTTAGGCTCCAGAGCACTACAAACCCTTATAGACTGATTACCCACAAGGGGCCTTCCAGAAGAAATGCTCGACACCATTCAAATGGGCAGGCTTCCCAGATGCCAGAACGACGCTGGCTGGTGATGGGGTGTCGCCCTGTAACCTGCCAACTGCAGGAGCGTGAGGCCTGGTAGAGAGATCTGGGGATGCTTTGGGGTGGCATTCCACGGGACAACCAAGGGTTGCTGTTGGGACGACGCTGGGCGGAGCTGGGCCGAGTCGTGTTGCTCTGTAACCTAGCCGGGTGGGAGTGTGAGGCCTGGGAGAGCTCGACAGGGAATAAGACAGTATCAAGTTTTAGAGAGTTTTGTTTCGGAGTCCAGGGGTTCTGAGCATTCGAGAAGCGGTCAGCAGTCATTCATAGTTTTTCAACCTCTTTTTAATTCTCTGGAATTTCTTCAACAGTTCTCAATACTTCTCATCAGATTGATTCTCAGCCGAAGCCGGGTAATGGCCCCGGTATCTCAAATGCCTTGTGTAACTCTATATGGGACGCTGGGCCTGGTTCCCAGCACGTGCTGCTCCCCACAAATAGATTGGAGCATTTGTCCCAAAAAAAAAAAAGAAAACAAAAAAATCGTATGGGATCACACCCCCAGCCCAAGCCACCACACTTCCCCATCTGACAGCTCATATATATGAGATGGCCTGGATTCCACGGGCCTAGTTATCGTTCTTCCTCCTACTTTTACCTTTTTTTATTCCACGGGCCTAGTTATCGTTCTTCCTCCTACTTTTACCTTTTTTTTTTCTTTTTTTTTTTTGCCAACATGCTTACCATGGGACTACTTCAGGTGTCGGTTATGGTACGGACGAAGTGTTGAAGCGAAACCGGGTACTTAATGCTCCCGGGAGTGCAATGTTTTTTTGGGGGGTAGATATTGAGGACCCCGGCCGCAAAATGATTCTTTGTTTCTTTTTCTTTTTTTTGTGGGTGGGGGGAGGACGTTGGGCCCGGTTCCCAACACGTGCAGCTCCCCACGAATAGAAAGGACTTGGTGATCATGAAGGAAAAAAAAGAGGCGAAAGATACGACGGTGCATCTTCCCATGTTCTAGCGGAAGATACATTCTCATTTGCTGAGAAATGGGGCGAGTGCATCTTCCCATGTTCTATGGGAAGATGCATCCTCGTTTGCTGAGAAATGGGGCGAGGTCAGTTCGTTGAACTTGGGTCCACTTTCTATTTTGCCACGTGACTACATTGTCGTTTTTTTGTTGTCGTTGTCTTTTGTCCACGTGCGATTTGTCAGTAATTCTTTTCAGGTCTAACACCTGCCCAAGGCGGGCTCACCACACGAAGACGAAGGGGGAAAAAAAGAACGAGGACGTTAGACGCCCAAAGCGCCATAGCCAAAAGAAACAATGAGACAAAAGCGGCAGCGGGCACCGACACTTCGTTTTGAGGAAGAAAGACAGCGGTCCGCAGTGGCCCACAGGTGGAATCTGTGGAACGATTTCTTTTTCTTTATATATATTGTCACAGGAATATATATATGCAAACAGAACTGCCTGGTAAACCGTAGGCAGAGAGAGAGAAGAGGACAACAAACAATGGTTTATTTTTTATTTTTTTTCAGTTTTTTAGAGAACCATACACACTTTTTTTGCATGAAACAAAGGAAATGGAGTCGAAAATCGACACCAGAGCAATCATCAATAGCAAGTCAACCCAACAACCATCGTTAGCATCACCACAACAAAGCAACCAATAGTCGCAACGGGGAGGAAACAAGAGAAAGAGAAAGAAGGGGGAGAGAGAGAGAGAGAGAAAAAAAAGAGGGGAAAAAAAAGATGAGCAAGACACAGGATAAACATCGAAAAAAAAATAGAGAGGAACTGGGCCGGGAAACCCCACAACATCCCGACATAAACTGGCACCTCTTTTTCTTCTGCCATTTTTTTAAAAAGAAGGCGTGTGACGATTTCCAGCTTCCTTTGGGTCCAAGTAGATTTTCCCACCACATCTGCCCCCGACCTACCGTCTTCCCTCGAACACAACGCACCCTGATAATGAATGCATACAAGCCATCTTTCCGGTCCGATACTGAGTTCAACGGCAACTCACTCCGACGAATACAGGCAGCAATCGTAACCCCGACCACTCGATTTGCAGGAGGGCGGAGGGGAAAAAGAAAGCCTTCAGCGAATGCATGGAAGACCGAGAGACAGAGAGCCGTGTCGAGCTATCCCTCCCTCACATCTGCCATAGTAAATAATGACCCAAAAAAAATATATATAAACGGAAAAAAGAAAAAAGCAGGAGAAACATCCGTTCAAATCGAGAAATGGTCCAAATTAAAAAAAAAAGAAAAAAAAAGGTAAAACAAAAAGAAAGCCCCTCCAGCAGAAATGCAACTTGTCAATTTGTTATATTGCCCTTCCCATTTTCTCACCTTGCAGAGAAAAATCTCCAGTATCTCCCGACCGGCTTCACCGTCTGACCTCAAGTTTTTCTCCTTTATAGCGATCGCACTGTGTGCATACAAATAGAGAGACAAACAAATAGACACAAATAGACAAACAAATAGACAAACAAATGAGCACACCCATATCAACACAAACACAGACAGCTAAATCAACAAAGAAAAATGCATAGGTCCACAGAATGAGGGACACCTAAATCAACACAGAAAAAGGCATAGGTCCACGAGGGAGGAGGCAAAAGAAGGAAAAGCTGTTTTGAAAAAAAAAAAAAAAAAAAGAAGAAGGAAAAGACAGAAACGAGAGAGGAAAAGAAAAAGAGAGAGGAGATGAAACATCAACACGTGCAAAAGAGCGGAAAAAAAAACAAATCCAAAAAACAACGGAGAGAGGTAGGACAAAGAAATACCGAAAAGGAGGCCAAATAAGAGCACAAGACAGCGGAGTCCTGATGCGATCAACCAAACATTGTTCTTTTCTAGTTCCGTCTGTTATTTTTGGAATAATACAATTTGCAAGCTTGCTCAACCTCATTGAACCTTTCAATTCCGGCCTTGCCGTGTATAACATGGCCTTCCCGACTCTCTTGCGAGCGTGGTAGAGCGTAAACTACGCAGACAGACCACCCAAAACACACGGGATGGAACCCCCTGCATCCGAAAGCCAGCCGCTCGAGAGAAAATCAACCTCTCTCTCTCTCTCTCTCTCTCAAGGAGCGGCTACAGCGAGAGACGGCCAGCAGAAAAGCGGGATCGTGCACAGCCATGAGATTAAGTAGATTGAGCACGAGGGAAGAGAAAGACAGCGAAGGGGACTGAGGATTACTCTCTCTCTCTCTCTCTCTCTCTCTCTCTCTCTCTCTCTCTCTCTCTCTCTCTCTCTCTCTCTCTCTCTCTCTCTCTCTCTCTCTNCTCTCTCTCTCTCTCTCTCTCTCTCTCTCTCTCTCTCTCTCTCTCTCTCTCTCTCTCTCTCTCTCTCTCTGTGTCTCTCTGTCTCTCTCTCTCTCAAGGAGCGGATACAGCGAGAGACGGCCAGCAGAAAAGAGGGATCGTGCACAGCCATGAGATTAAGTAGATTGAGCACGAGGGAAGAGAAAGACAGCGAAGGGACGGAGGATTACAGTGAGAGAGCAAGACAAGAAAATTGATATCACGGAGCACTGAAAGATACCCAAAACTTGGGTGCGTACTAACAACCGCGGTAGAACAACGTCTTGCGCATTGTCACGATCCCTCGTGCTGTTTCTACTTCGCGCCTCTCCGTCCCTTTCAGAGAACGGAAGAGAAAAGAGGAAAAAGTGACAAGAATTGATCCAGAGAAGGATGCTGCAGCCAGCTATGGGAGACGGCATCAAGAGAGAAATTTCCCTGTGCTTCCTCCAGGCTTCCTTCTTCTCCGTTTCTTTCTCTCAGGAAAGGAGCGAGAGAAGACGGACGACCAAGGGTGCAACAATCGCAGGGGATGGGATCAAGGGAGAGCAAAGACAGTCAGAGAGCCCTCTTTCAAGGAAATTATTCAAAGACGACAACAGAGAATAGGTGCCAATTTGTGAGGATATGGTTGTATCTATGGGACGCTGGACGCGGTTTCCAGCAGGTGTTGCTCCCCACCAATAGATGGAGCCAAAAAAAAAAAAAAGAGAATAGGTGCGAGAGTGAGGCAACACATCAGACACGGAAGACGTACAACAGGCTTGCTTCTACGTCTCTTTCTCTCGGGAAAGGAGAGAAGAGCGAAGAAAAATGGAGGAGAATAGAGATACGGGTGCTACAGCTGTAGGGGATGGGATCAAGTAGAGAGCGAACAAGTCAAGAGAGTCGTCTTTCAGCGACTTCAAGAGAAAAAAACAGAGCAAAGGTGCGAGAGTGAGGCAACACATCAAAGGCGGAAGACGTACAACAGGCTTGCTTCTACGTCTCTTTCTCTCGGGAAAGTAGAGGGAAGAGGGAAAGAAACAGGGAGGAGAATAGAGAAGGGTGCTACAGCTGTAGGGGATGGAATCAAGAGAGAGCAAACCTCTTTCAGGGAAACTCTTCATAGAAAAAAAACAGAGAATAGGTGAAAAAAACAGAGCATAGGTGCGAGAGTAAGGCAACACGTCAGAGGCGGAAGACGTACAACGGGCTTGCTTCTACGTCTCTTTCTCTCGGGAAAGGAGAGGGAAGAGGGAAGAAAAAAGGGGAGGAGAAGAGAGAGAAGGGTGCTACAGCTGTAGGGGATGGAATCAAGTTTCAGGGAAACTCTTCATAGAAAAAAAACAGAAAAAAAAAACTCTTCACGGAAAAATATGAACAACAGCAGTGACACACAACTTTCTGCCGGCACTTGAGGTGATTAAGGTCATAGCACGAAGGAAGGGAGACGACCCTTTTGACGACAGGTAATACGGCTGTATTTGAGGCAACTTCCGGTCCACATGCAGGTGATTATTGCGAGTATCGGGAGACGGACATCTTCGCGGGAACGTACCTCTGCCTGCGACGAACTTCGGTTATTTCCGATAAACAAAATTTTGCCAACCGTCTTGCCCCGAATAGAGCGTACGGTCATTACGGCTGTATTTGAGGCAACTTCCGGTCCACATGCAGGGACAAAGACTGCGTGTTTTATCCGGGGAAATACGACGAGACTTGGTCTTTTGTGATGCCTCCATTAATTTGACTACAGCCTTCCCCCAAACAGAACGCACGGTCATCACGGATGTATTTGGAACAACTGTTACACTAGATACAGGGAAAATGACTGCGTCTATTTGGAACAACAAGTCGCAACAACATGAGTACGGCAGCACTAGGTGTAAAGCACGATGGGGGCATCAAGAGGGGGGGTTGGGGGGCGAGCCTTTCGACGGGCTGGTAGATAGAGAGAAAGGAACAAGGAACTAACCTGCAGACACCTTGCCTGCAACGTTGGGATTAAACCGAAAAAAAAAAGTGTAAATAGCAGTGGGGCATGACGAGAGGAGGCGAGCTATTCGACGGGCTGATGATAACTCTCAAGAATTCATATTTTTCGACCGAAAAAAAAAAAGTGTAAATAGCAGTGGAGCATGACGAGAGGAGGCGAGCTATTCGACGGGCTGATGATAACTCTCAAGAGTCCATATTTTTCGACGGAGACATTCGACACCTCATCAGCTGGGGGTGCTTAAACATTACCAGAGAGAAAGAGCGAAAAAAAGAGAGATAGAGAGACCAGAGGCCACATTACTTGAGGAATTCTTTTGGCAGACTCATCATCTTGTGGGTTACATAACCATCACTAGCTCACATCGACGGAGTCGTTTAGCAAACTCATCTCGTGGGTCTCAACACATGACTGGAGAGAGAGAGAGAGAGGAGAGGACACATTACTAGAGAAGAAATCGCTTGGCAGATAATCATCTTGGGGTACTTACAGATTACTAGAGAGAGAGAGAGAGAGAGGGGAGGACCGAGAGGAGAGCGTTACCAGTAGAACAGGGAGAGATTGATATCATCTTGGGCGCAGCACATACCTTAGCCTGCGGCGAGACTTGGCCATTTCTGGAATGGAGTAAGCGGAAGATGGTACAGCGTATCGCCTGGGCCGGGGACACAAAATATTGTTGTCGTCATCGTACCGATTCTCGAAGCGGATGAAACCAAGACTGCCAATTCTTGCTCTCCTCCTCTCGTTCATGTCGGACCCCCCCCTGGGTTCAGGAACACTCGGCCAGGCTGCAATCTAAGCGCCTGGAATATTCAACGTACCGAAAACCTCCAGTTTCACCAAGGTACCTATCCCCCTTTACAAAACCCTTGTTACAGATACGAATATATACATATACATTTCAATGCATCTTGCCGACGAATGAATGATCGATTCCTAACTCCACTAATCAACCTCCCTCGCTATACGCATAAATAACTGCCGATTCTACCTTCCTCTCTCTCTCTCTCTCTCTCTCTCTCTCTCTCTCTCTCTCTCTCTCCCCCACATACACACACGATATACAGATGGGGATAGCAATCGGAACCCCACAATTACCAAACCTGTTCGCCGCCGCGGTGCGATGTAGTCGCTGTCACAATTCCCAACCCTTCTCCTACCGTGCCGCCACAATTACAATCTTGCCCTTTTACTTGGCTGACAAACTTTCAACACTCTCCTCCTCCTCTCAACCTGGTTGAAAAAGCCGACTTCGTTATCCTCATTGGCGAGCCGTGAAAACAGGTGCCGCCACAATTACAATCTTGCCCTTCTAATTCGCCGACAAACTTCCACCACTACCCTCTCAAGCTTCTGGAAAACGCTCACTACCGTATCCTCCTTAGGCGATCAGTCAAGACTTTTCACCTCTCCGCCTGGTGTGCCAACCGATCCTTCGTCGCCGCCACGGTTCCCACACCTCTCTTCCTAGACTGCCATCGGAAACTGCAGCCTTGCCCTTCTACATGGCCGTCAAACTTTCACAACTCTCCTGTCAAAATGGTGGAAAACTTTTCACACGTCTGCTCCTTGTGTGCCAATCGATCCCGACCTTCGTCGCCGCCGCGATTCCAACCCCCCCTCTCCTCCTAGTCTGCCACCGCAATTGCAACCTTGCCCTTCCACTTCGCTGACAAACTTTCACAACTCCACCGTCAAAATAGTCGCACACGCTGTCTCCCTCTCCGCGTTGGCGATCCGTCACGACTTCCCACGCCTCTCCTCCTGCTGTCCCACCAAAATTGCAACCATGACCTTCTACTCCGCAGAAAAACTCGCACCACCCTCCTCTCCTCTCAACTTGACTCCTCAGCGATACTTCAAGACTTCCCGCTCCTCTCCTTCTAACGTGCCACCACAGTTGCAGCCTTGTCCTTCAGCTTCGCCAACAGACTTTCACCGCTCTCCTCTCTACTCGAAGGAAATTGCTGATCCCCCTCTCCTCCTTGGCGATTCCTCAAGACCAGAAAAGAGGAGACACAGCTATGACGTCTGTGTTCTTGAGCAAAGAACGCGACAAAACCCTCTGCCGCATCGTGGTGTCTTCACCGTTTCAAAAAAAAATCTCTCGACTCTTCCTACCAGTCTATTTTGCTCACAGCCAATCAATCAATCAATCAATCTACAATTCCATTTCGCTCACAGCCAATCAATTAATTATTAATCCCCGGGCCGTCTATTCACCAATCCCGGCGGGCCAGCAGCCTCCAGCTCCTCGCACGCTGGCGCGCTACCATCCTCTCTCTCTCTCTCTCTCTCTCTCTCTCTCTCTCTCTCTCTCTCTCTCTCTCTCTCTCTCTCTCTCTCTCTCTC